TGCTTGTGCTTGCTGACTCCAATGGGGAACACCTATGGAACGTCGGGACGTGATTCAAGGGCTGAAGCAGAGCTGTGAGTTTGCCTGACCTGCTCTCTCACACCAAAGGTGTCTTACCTGCATTGTTTGTTTGTTGACAATGCGTCACGTGTCAGTGAAGATCCTGCATTGTCTTGTTCTTGTTTCTGGCAAGTGGGATCCAGCCAAATGATTTGTTTGCGTAACTGCAAGCAGGGAAGCTGGGACGAGCTCTTGTGACAATGTGCCTTTGCTTTCCCTTAAAGCAATAAAGGTTCCTCATAGCAACACGCGCCTGCGGCACGTGCACACGCGTGCAAGTTGGATTGCATGGCCGAGGCAGCCCTTTCCGACGAAGAGCCCCTGGACAGGAAATAAAGGAGACCTGGGGACAGTGCTTCTCCGATGTGAAAGATTTGGAAGATCCCAAGTAAAGAAGATTTAGAAGAACAGGATGCGTCCCAAACCCAAACCTTTAAACAGGATCCCGGTGGGTTTTGGATGCCTCCTTTAAGGATCGGCTGAAAGAGAAAACCGCCGAAACCCTGGGGAGCTCCAACAACAACGCGCCGAACAACCAAAGTCCGTCCACGCAAACGGTCTCGGCCATGGAAGATAGCCGACCGAATGCTCTGGAATGCCGTAACACAGAACACCTATCTAGATGATGTGCGACATTTCGCCTTCCCTGAAATATAGACTAGTTTTGGAGGAGACCCCACAGGCGCAAGCCGTTGATCACACGTCGTTGGACCACCCCGTCGCCCCGCCCTTCGCACGGCCTGCTTTCACGCTCGCCGATCCTTGCCTGGCACATTTGCGCTCGATGGCTCCGGGGGAATTTCAAGCCTTCAGCGATGTGGGGGTCCAAAGCCTTTGCAACTCAAATGAGATTTGGCTTGGAAAACAACTGGAAAACCATCCCTGCTTTGGGTCTCCTTTTTTGACACAAATTTCTGAGAGGTCTCACTTTGAGATTCCCCGAAACGGAGGCGGTGCCTCGTTTCCCACATGTCACATAGCATGAACTGAACTGACCACTGTCCACTGAGCGGTGGGAGAAAACAGCGCCATTTCTTGTTGGTTCTTGAATCAAGGGACATCCACATTCTAAACGGGGAAAGGGGGCCTGCGAATTCCCCCCCCTCCTTGGGTTCTCCTTGTGCAAGCCAAGGTGCGTGAGCATAGGACAGCCAGGCGACAAGCACCAGGCCAAGCGTCTGTGACTCCTGGGCGTAGGAAGCCTTTGGAGGCTGAATACGTCCGTATCCGTCGACCCCTTCCCAAAGAGGCGCCTGGAAAGGGTGGAACTATGATCTAGGTTCCGTGAGCTAAAGCCCCCATGGCTGGACGTATGCATACATGCCGCGCGGATGCCGCGGATACTGCCCATGTAGCTTTAACTTGCTTTATTGTTTGATGTATATAATTGTTGTTTAGCCTTATTATAGTTTTGTTGTATACATGATCTGATTGTTACGCTAGACATCGGAGCTGCACTGCTTTGCAAGAGTATGTGCGGCTTTGGGCAACCTCTAGGGCTCCATTCCACCCTGACAGGTATCAATGGTTGACACCCAGTATCAGCGTTTTCGGTTGACGAAAGTAGATGATATGCAGCTCTGCAGGTCAATGCACTAAGGGGGAGGTGGCACCTCACGGCAGCCCTGAAACATGTTCCCCCTGGTATGAACCCGTATACCTTGTACATCAAAAACCCGGAAAAAAGGAGGTTCTGGTTTGCGGACACCGTGTGACGCAACTTACAAAAGAGGCAGTTGGTGGCACTGTCCTGCAAAACATGGGCCACGTTCAAGAAATATGCAGTTCCCACAACGAGCATGGGGAAATGAGTGATTTCCCACGGTGTTCGTGGGGAAACATTTGGTGAGCCTGCCCCCGATCTCTACCAAGGACTTACTATAGGGCCAAATGGTATCTCGTTCAGAGATGGGCACCTCTCTGAGGGCATCACCCAAACTTGCCAAGGCAACTCTCCCAAGGTGGCCCACTTGCTAAATGGACAAATCTCAGATGCCCAGTGGCCATAGGGAAAAAATGCATTTTTATTTGGTTGGTTGAGTTGAAAGGCGAACCATTTCAAAAAACAACGAGGAAAAAGGGAGCCACTGGGCAAGTGGGAAATTGCCATCCACTTCCTGCTCATTGGCTCGTGAAAGTCAGCTAAACCTAGGTATAGTCTCCCTCAACCTTCCCTTGCGTATCTTCGTCCGGGGTTGTCTCCAAAACTGGTTGAATGAGTGGCTCAGTGTTGAAACAAGAACAAACACAACAACACAAACACAAAAGGCGTTCACCGCTCATTTCATCATTCATTATCAGTTGCTTAATATTTCCTTCTATCAACCAACACCAAACAAGTGCCAGCCACCTTCTTTCCAATATTCATGGAATCGGACAGACCGATTGAACATGATCTCAGGCTTCAAAACCGCACTAAAGGGCAGCCTTCCCAGAAAAAAGAAACCAAAGGACCGCCCTCATCTGTCCTCTCGCTAGTTCTTAGCTGGGAATCAGGGAATGACCCCTACCACCAATCCTTTGTGGTTACCTAGGGATCCATTGATTCATTCCCGAAATCTCTCTTGATTCCGCACCTATCCGAACCAAGTCTTTTGGCGCACTGGTCTGTCAGTCCGCCTGCGTGGGCACAAAGCGCCGCGTCAAGGTGAAGGTCCTGCACCCCCAGCTGCCCAGCTCCGAACCGGGCTACGTGGCCACGCGGCTCAACTATTTGGACTTGCGAAAGCCTTGGGTTGCTTTGAAGGCCGAAGGGACCCAGAAGAACACCAACCCGTTTGTGACGCTCCCCGATTTTAAGACAATCTGAACATGCCTCCTGCAACCATCACCACAAAGGGCAAGGCAAGGCAATCATCACAGGCAACCAACAGCTCATGCTGTCACCCAAAGGAAACACGTCTTTGGGCCTCTGACACCAACTCGAAGTTTTTTGTGTTTTGAAGGAAAAAACAGGAGGACAACATTTTGGAGGGACCCTGCAAAAGAGCACACCCTGTTTTGGTCTAAGGTTGTCTCCCCATTCTGAACCCAAAGGCACTGGCCACGGATTCCTTCCCCTTTCTAATCCCAGGGACCCTGGGACCCGCAACTTTGCAGAACACCTCCAAAAGCCCCAAGACTATTGGTTTGTATGAAAAACACAATGGTTGAAAAGAAGGGGGAGCCAACCCACAGAGCGAGAATGGCGTGATTTGTCAGAGAGATATTGTACGTAACATAAACGATCTGCTGGACATGCGCATGTCAAGCTGAGTTCGTCTAGACCGGATGTGCATTTCGGGAAGGGTGACATGTCAATGTGAAAACACCCCTTTGGCATTTAGGCGTGACTGTGCAAGCCACACGTCCAGTATCCAAGGGGAATGAGCCCATCGCTTTATTCATTAGAAATCTTGACATCGAGTTGCTTGTGGCTTGAGCCATGCAGGCCTGTGAGGAATCCAGTCTAGATATTCTGTGAGCCATTGGCATGGCCTTATGGCCCTCTAACTTCTCTTCCAGAACATAGTTGGCCATGGTTTTCTATTGAACACAAGCTGTATACCAAAATGGACCATACGATTCTTCCGATTGTCTGAGTCCGATCCAATTGGTGAATTGGATAAACAGAAAAAAAAACACTCTTTGCCGGACCCTGCAAGTCAAAGCGAAAGACCCAAGCGAAACAAAGATTCGTCTCCTGCGTCCAAAAGCAGCGTACATCAGCCAGAAAAGGAAGGACCTGATCGCACATGAGGTTCGGTGACAAAACACATGGCCGGGTTGGCCTCTTAGATTCCCTAAGCCACCCAAAACGGGTGCCCTCAACAAACGACGTGTCCATGTGTGCTTTTTCGAGGTACCCATTGGGACACTTATTCAGAAAAAGGTCTTTCTCGAAAACAAGCGCCGGATTTTTTGGATACAGAAACCAGCTACCGGAACAGGAAGTTGGCCCGAGGACTTCCCAGTTGCTGGGCTTGGAAGAAACGAGTAGCTATGGACCAGTGACCGGTCTAGGCAACCTGTCTGGTTGCCTGGGAACCCGAGGCTGACTGGACCTACCAGCTTCCGGCAAAACCAAACACACACACACACACACACATTCCTGGGCTATATTCTGTGGCAAAAAATTGGGCCCCACACTTGCGCGGCACTTGCGCCCGCACACTGTAACGCAGAAACTTGTTTTCTTCCACCTCGGGTTGCGAGCCATTCAAGAAGCAAAGTCATTTGAAGGGTATTCAGGGCAAGGAAAGTGTATGTTGCGGATTGCTGAGCCATTGGGGCTTCTCGTACTTGCGTGCAGTGTGCGCCGTGTTTCGAGTTTACTTTGTCGTGTCAGTTACAGTTGCAAAGAGCTACTTCCTTTCATAAAGCTAGGCAGCATCTTGCGCGTCCCTTGGGTCGCACTTGCGCGCTCTTTGCGCGCGCACGGATCAGCATGAACGTCCGTCCTCCTTTTGGCCCACATGCGGTGGGTGGGCCAAGAAAACCGTACTTTCAGCATATGCTTTATATAGTCTACCTACAAAATAAATCTGTGTTGGACCGCAGCCTGGACTACCCTATGAAATACGGGATTGGTGCTGCTAACTTCAGGAATTCAACCAGAACGTTCAAGGAAACCAAAGAAACCAACTGTGGCTCGGTCATCTTTTAGATCTAGCAGCCCCCAACTCTTCTTGGAACAACCCGGGCAGCTCGCGTCGCTTTTCCAACGCCGCTAATGGAAGCAGCTGAGCTCCATAAACAAAACTGCGGGCATCCGGTTCAAACTTGCTTGATCATGATCATTCTGAACACTTCGAACCGTTTTCCAGGGTCTGCTTCAACAGAGTACTTGTCAAAATCGGAATCGGTCCGGTCGGCTCCCTGGATTCCCTCAAACTGGCACCACGGACCAAATATTGAGTAAACCGCCGACCATCCTGAAATATGTTGTTTAGCTGGAGTTGGGCCAAGTTCTGGGGGTCCGGTATGACCGGCTTGAGAACCGAATCCGAGTGCCGCCGGCAAAAGTGGCATGGGCTCTCCGCGCGTCACATGAGGCGCTCCGATAGGCCCGGCACGCAGAAGGCATCGGTGCCCGGAGGCCCCTCAGGCAACGTAGCCGCCAGGTTGTCCCAAAGCGCCTGGCATTTTGCCCGGCTTGCAGTATACTTCCAGTATAGGAAGGCTCGGGTCCCCTAAAATGGCAAGGCTTTCCTTTCAATCAAGAACAAGGGGTCCGAGCTCCTGGGAATTTGTAAGACGGTAAGCCCATGGCTCAAAGGTCTATCTGCACCCAACTTTCGTTCCCGTTTTGTCACTTGAGCGCATTGGTTTGCCTGCCACTGGGAAGCCCATGGCCACGTCAAACTTAGCCCTACGGCTCGCTTGCTGGTCGGTGCCTAAGGATTCGAAACCACCTTTGTATTAACCCATCTGAGTCCCAAACCGAGTTCTAAGCTGAGCGTGAGGTAGGGTTGGGGCCCATCCTAGAATCTGCACACATTGCGAACATTCCACGCGTCCGAAAATAAGGCTAATAAAAATAAGGCTCATAAAAACAAAAAGCCCAACCCGAGTCATGCCTCAATCCTTGAGAGTAGGCACCACGCGCAAACTACTCGAAGAAATTGGATCTTTCCCTTTTTACAGGTAGTTTGAGGGCACCCCTTGGCCTGGTTGTTCATCTCCTTGGCCTTCCTCTCCGCGCTGCTCTCGCCACTCAAGTGGACCTAGCGAAGCCGGCCGATTTCAGCATTGGATCTGGCACCCACGGCTTGGGACTTTTGGGCTTTTCTTATCCAAAGGAAATCCCCATTCTGGGGGCCATTGTAAGACAACCCCACGAAGTTGGCTGAACCGGGCAGGTTGCCTTTCAAAGGAAACCTGCACTTTGGGCTCAAGCATCTTTTCATATCTTTTCAATGAAGCAGTGTAAAAAACGACTAACCTGGCAGCTTTCGGATCTCCAACAAATGGGAAATTTGGCTCTTTGGATCCCGGCCATGATTAGGTGTTGTTTTCACGAGGGCCAAAGCCATGGTTCTTCTTTCAGTATGGAAATTCCGGAGCTGCGCAACTCGATGCCTTCTTGCGACAAAGGACCACAACCAAAATATGCTCAATTTTTGGCACTGCAAGTTCAGTCTAACCTACCCAAACCTCCAGTTGGCCGGCATTCGGGGTAGAGAAAACATACTTTCATATGAAAATCTAAGATCTACTCAACCCTAACATATGAACAACTCGGAGATAGCCCATCGGGCCAACTTCTGAACAAAAACTCATTGGATTCTCTAAGGTGGCAGTGGCCAGTTCCAACGCATGTGTCTCACTTGCCGAAAGGACCTGCAAATTAAAGGTTAGCCTTTGGGGCCCTGACAAAAGGGATAACAAAAAGGTTAAAAGGTCGGCTTGGAACAACTGAGGTAAACATCGTCGGTGGTGACGGTTCCGAGTTGAATTCCTATCTGTGCAGTGTTGCCCAAGAAGGCAACGTAGAGATTGTTTTTGGTAACTGCTGTTCTCTTCTTATCCAGCGAAGAAATCACCTTCACCTGCCTCAGACAGCTGTCCTCATGTGGTCCATTGCACCACACTCCCACCTGGTGCCCCCTTCCATCACGTGGACCCATCTGCTCCACCTCCGCCATGTCTGCAAACTGCTCTTTGCATGGTAGATCTCACCCGCGCATACCCGGAAGAGCAGCCCTCCCTCGATATACTGCTGACCCCTTTCACAAGGACGGTCTCAATCTCAACCATCGCTGCAAGGCCTTCACCAGCTCCGTGGCAGTGGTGGTTTCAGAAGGCTCCAGAGCCTTTTCGGCGTTAAATGTTAAAGAACATGAAGGCTGTAGCGTTGCAAATGTTACACCTATGGCAAGATTGTAACCTGCCAATGGTTGATTTTCCTTTCTGGGATTGGGTCTACCTGGGCCCTAGAAAACAAATGGAACCCGGCACCGTTCGTCTGCCTCGCCTCATTGCTCGCCGTCTCGGCGTCTGTGATCACGGGGCCCAGCTCCATCACCGTGGCGGTCTCACTGGGGCGCGTCTGTTCTGTGGCCAAGGCGTTGGGCAGACTCATGTCCTCCGAATGCGGAGAAACGCCGGAAAAAGGCCCATCCGACTTGTTTGGGAAATAAATGAATATTACTAGGCCACCGCAAACCCGCAATTCCCCCTAAAAGGCTGGGGAAATGGTTTGCAACCAACAGACTCTTGACACGAGGAGCGGGGGTCAGGAACAAAAAACATATCCCCTTTTGGTGTCCCTTCAAGGAACCCCCAAAAAAGGGCCCGCAGCAGTTGCTTGGTTCGATCAGGGGAGCTCGTCATGGGCCTTCTCATGTTAAATGGCCCGTGTTCAAATAGCAGCACGCCTGCGTCATTTGTAGTGGAACACCGCTACAGCCAAAGGCTGTTTGCGGTGTGTGTGTGTGTGTGTGTGTGTGTGTGTGTGTGTGTGTGTGTGTGTGTGTGTGTGTGTGTGTGTGTGTGTGTGTGTGTGTGTGTGTGTGTGTGTGTGTGTGTGTGTGTGTGTGTGTGTGTGTGTGTGTGTGTGTGTGTGTGTGTGTGTGTGTGTGTGAGTGTGTGTGTGTGTGTGTGTGTGTGTGTGTGTGTGTGTGTGTGTGTGTGTCTGTGTGTCTGTGTGTCTGTGTGTGTGTGTCTGTTGTGTGTGTCTGTGTGTCTGTGTGTCTGTGTGTCTGTGTGTCTGTGTGTCTGTGTGTCTGTGTGTCTGTGTGTCTGTGTGTCTGTGTGTCTGTGTGTCTGTGTGTCGTGTGTGTGTGTGTCTGTGTCTGTGTGTCTGTGTGTCTGTGTGTCTGTGTGTCTGTGTGTCTGTGTGTCTGTGTGTCTGTGTCCTGTGTGTCTGTGTGTGTGTCTGTGTGTCTGTGTGTCTGTGTGTCTGTGTGTCCTGTGTGTCTGTGTGTCTGTGTGTCTGTGTGTCTGTGTGTCTGTGTCTCTGTGTCTCTGTGTCTCTGTGTCTCTGTGTCCTGTGTCTCTGTGTCTCTGTGTCTCTGTGTCTCTGTGTCTCTGTGTCTCTGTGTCTCTGTGTGTCTGTGTGTCTGTGTGTCTGTGTGTCTGTGTGTCTGTGTGTCTGTGTGTCTGTGTGTCTGTGTGTCTGTGTGTCTGTCTGTCTGTCTGTCTGTCTGTCTGTCTGTCTGTCTGTCTGTCTGTCTGTCTGTCTGTCTGTCTGTCTGTCTGTCTGTCTGTCTGTCTGTCTGTCTGTCTGTCTGTCTGTCTGTCTGTCTGTCTGTCTGTCTGTCTGTCTGTCTGTCTGTCTGTCTGTCTGTCTGTCTGTCTGTCTGTCTGTCTGTCTGTCTGTCTGTCTGTCTGTCTGTCTGTCTGTCTGTCTGTCTGTCTGTCTCTGTCTCTGTCTGTCTGTCTGTCTGTCTGTCTCTGTCTGTCTTGTCTGTCTGTCTGTCTGTCTGTCTGTCTGTCTGTCTGTCTGTCTGTCTGTCTGTCTGTCTGTCTGTCTGTGTCTGTCTGTCTGTCTGTCTGCCTGCCTGTCTGTCTGTCTGTGTCTGTCTGTGTCTGTCTGTGTCTGTGTGTGTCTGTGTGCGTCTGTGTGTGTGTCTGTGTGTCTGTGTGTCTGTGTGTGTCTGTGTGTGTCTGTGTGTGTCTGTGTGTCTGTCTGTGTGTCTGTGTGTGTGTCTGTGTGTGTGTCTGGATGTGTGTCTGTGTGTGTGTCTGTGTGTGTGTGTGTCTGTGTCTGTGTCTGTGTCTGTGTTTGTGTCTGTGTGTGTGTCTGTGTGTGTGTGTCTGTGCGTGTGTGTGTGTGTGTGTCTGTGTCTGTGTGTGTGTCTGTGTGTCTGTGTGTCTGTGTGTCTGCGTGTCTGTGTGTCTGTGTGTCTGTGTGTCTGTGTGTGTGTTTTGGAGGTGTGGGTGCTTATACCGCCAACTTAAGTTTTGAAACATACGTCCTGTGTATATAAGTCGAACAGGTGTTCCACCTCCACACCGCCCACAACCATACCTGAAAACAGCACAACAAGGCAAACCATTACCATCTGGCGTAAGGACAAAGGATTCGCGTGCAAACTGCAGGCCCCGAAGCCGCTTCATAGCTCATCGAACCTTTCCATTTGTTCGCCCCATGTCCTCCCCAAACCAAACAATAGAAACTCAAGAGTAAACTGTTAGCGATGTTGTCAGTTTCTCATATGGCCATAGCCCCTCGTTTATGGACTAATTGCGGGTGGCTTTCAAACCGCAAAGAAACGCGTTCTTTTTGGTCTTTTGCAACCGACGGGAAAAACGGCACCCTGATACCCTCAAAACACACGCGCACACACACACTCACACACAGTTATGGGGTTATGGGGGCTTCCCATCGGCCAAGCCGCCGCCGCCGCTTCAGAAACTCCATTCTCGATATTGCGGATGCTGCCTAAGCAAAGGCGCAAGGGGACCACACCACAGGCCTGCGTGTGTAGGTGTGTGTGTAGGTGGCCGCAGGTGTGTGGAGGTGTGTGTGTGTAGGTGTGTAGGTGTGTGAGTTTGCGGGTGTGTGTCCTCCACTATTTGCGTCGCGCTTATCGAGTTTCTACCTTTGGAGTTTCGATAGGAACCAAAAGGAAAACATCTACTTTGCGGGTTCCCCTCCTTGGCAACGGTTGGAGGTGGCACTGTGAGGTGGGAATCCACTGAAGTGCGTCTCTGAAATTTCACCCAAGTTATTCAATCCAAAAACCGGCATACTGAAGGCCAGGGCATAGGCCATCTGGACGTGTACAGGCATCTTGTCACGGGCGAAAACATGGATAAACCACCCTTGTATTTAAGGCACACCTCTACACTGTTCATGCAATATTTTGCTTGGTTTGCGTTTGCCTTCGATTTGTCGTGACCTGGGACACACCTGCAATGAGACTAGTCCAGGGCTCAGCCCCCACGAACTTGCCTGAACACCAATGGGGTACAAATTTCGTGACAGGCGCAGCGCTTTCACAAGGTCCAGTCCGGACTGCAAGGCAGCCCTTGTATTTAAGGCACACCTCTACACTGTTCATGCAATATTTTGCTTGGTTTGCGTTTGCCTTCGATTTGTCGTGACCTGGGACACACCTGCAATGAGACTAGTCCAGGGCTCAGCCCCCACGAACTTGCCTGAACACCAATGGGGTACAAATTTCGTGACAGGCGCAGCGCTTTCACAAGGTCCAGTCCGGACTGCAAGGCAAGCGGAGAACTTGGTGCAGATTTCGTGGAGGGAGAGGAGGGAGGGAGGGAGGGAGGGGAGGGAGGGAGGGAGGGAGGGGAGGGAGGGAGGGAGGGAGGGAGGGAGGGAAGGGGGAGGGAGGGAGGAGGGAGGGAAGGGAGGGAGGGAGGGAGGGAGGGAGGGAGAGGGAGGGAGAGAGAGGGAGAGGGAGAGGGAGGGAGAGGGAGGGAGGCAAGGAGGGAGGGAGAGAGGGAAAGAGGGAGGGATATGCCTCATTTTCGCGCATTTTGCCAAGCGCTGCCGGGCATGCCGGCGATGCTGGGTCCTTGCTTTACAAGACGCTGTAATTACCGTGAAAAAACTGCTACGCAGAGCGGTGGGCCGTTCGTCTGTCCGTTTTGCCTTTGTTGTGGCTGGCTCGTGCGCTGCACGGTCCTTGCTTTTTTCACGTTGGTTTGCGGGCCTTCTGACGTGCGCGCGCGCACGACCCCAGCCACAAAACGCTGCTATTTGCAGGTGTTTTGTTGCGCTTGCGTTTCCGGGCTGGCTTGCGGGCTGTTCTTTTTGGGCTGCTCGTTCTGGGGCCTCTGGTGCGCGCGCGGCGCGCGCTCGCTTGCGCGCGCGACCCGTGTGAACCTTCTGGGTTGGGGCCTGGCTGCGGCCCAGACAGCTGGCATCCCTGGCATCATCTGGGGCTGGAGTGGGCAACATGCGTAGCCTAACCACCTTGCTTATATCCCTTCGGTACATCGCGTTTCAGGCCAAGTGGCTGACATCATCCAGGTGTGGGGTTGGGCTAGCGGCACTTGGTCTGCTTAGGTTTGGCAAGGTTTCCCACAGGCAAGCAAAACCGCAAGCCTGAGCTGGTGATGCAGTGGATTTAGGCAACGCGTCACGATCAAGTGATGAGGGTCGGCGGCGCAGGGGTGCAGCCAGGCGTAGCCGGACAACCGACCCTGATTCACAGAAAGCGTGCCACACTCAGAGCTTGCAACAGTGCAAGCCTTGCCGAAGTGCTGCGCCTGCCAGTAAAGCCGATTGACCTTGCGAAAGTGCTGCGCCTGCCACGCAATCCGAACATGACCTGGCGAAAAGTGCTGCGCCTGCCATGCAATCCAAACCTTGCGAAACCTGTGAATTGCCCTTACAGTGGGTCCCGAGACCGTGCCGGACCTGCGCAGCGCAGAACCCGCGCACCTGTGCCAGACAAGCGTCGACACAGAGGTGGTTGACATCGACGCAGCAGGTCATTCTTCTTTACGATTCCTATTCCCCTGAGCCGCACGCCCCCTCGCATGCCGCCTTTCAACCAGTTTCCGTGCTATGGAAGTTTCCTTCCAAACTTGCTTTGATTCAAAAACCTTCCCCTAAGAATGAGAACAGTGCCCCCAAACCGACCCCGAAAATTGCGAATACGTGTTTCAAATTTCCCAACACTACGCAAATTCTAAACTCTCCCGAACCCAGATCCACTCAGCGAAGCTCTGCAGATGTGCTTATTAGGGGTCACCCTGGTCTGATTCAATCGTTGTGATTATTTTGGGCACTTTCTCCTTCCAACAAAATCTACTTCACCAGGTTGACTTCTAAGCATTTGTTCACTCCAACAAAAGAATTGTTTTGCGTGACAAGAGTGTTATTAAGGGCCTCCACTCAGTTCCCCTCAAAATCTCCTACATGTCCTACTGAACAGTTCCAACTCATTGGGTTTTGTCATTAGGGGCTCCATTAGGTTCCATGCAGAAGGTCTCCTTTTGAAACAAACCATGCTTCTTTAAGCTTTTAAGTTTCTTTTTGGCAAAAGCAAGGGGCGCCTCCCTTTTCAAGTTCCTCGAAAATTGCATTTTGAACATGTTTTCTGCGAAGCAACAAATTCTCTGTCGTTTGGTGCCAGTCCAGGGTGCGCTGGGATGTGTCGGGTATGTCAGGGACGTGTTGGGGACGTTTCGGGGATGTGTCGGGGTTGTGTCGCGGATGTGTGGGAGACGTGTCGGGGATGACTGGCAAACAGCGCATGACAATGTATAGTGGCAGGGCCACACACACAACAAGAAGCGGCACGGCCACTCACATTAACCAACAGGAAGACAACAAAAGCGGCAGCGCCGCTCACCCAACTATGAAAAAGGCTTTGCAAGGTTTCGTGGCAGGCGACACACTTTCGCAAGGACGGGTGCAGATTTCGTGGAAGGCGTGTTTCGCAAGGTGAGGCCAGCAGATTTCGAACATGGAGAGACTCAAGGAGAGAGAAGGAAGAGCGAAAGAGAGAGAGAGAGAGAGAGACAAAGACAGAGAGAGAGAGAGAGAGAAAGAGAGAAAGAGAGAAAGAGAGAAAGAGAGAAAGAGAGAAAGAGAGAAAGAGAGACCCAAAAACGAGAGAACCAGAGAAAAGTGAGAGAGAGAGAGAGGGAGAACGAGAGAAAAGCAAGAGAGGGAGAGAGAGAGAGACAGATACAAGTAAAGAGAGAAAGATGCAGGAAATAAAGAGAAAGAGAAAGGGAATGAGAAAGAGAAAGAGAAGGAGAAAAAGATAAACAAAGAGAGAGAGAAAGAAAGAAAGCAAGAGAAAGAACCAGAGAGAATGAGAGAGAAAGAGACAAACCAAGAAAAAGAGAAAGATAAAGGAAAGAGGAAGAGAAAGGCCAAAAGCAAGAGAACAAAGGATCATAAAAGACAGAGAAAAAAGAGAAAGATAAAGAGAAAGAGACAAAGAAGGAGAAAGTGGAAGAGAAGAAAGAGAGAGAGAGAGAGAGAGAGAGAGAGAGAGAGAGAGAGAGAGAGAGAGAAAAAGAGAGAGAGAGAGAGCTAAAGAGAGAGAGGGAGAGAGAGACAGGGAAGGAGAATGAGGAAGAGAAGGAAAAAGGAGAGAGAAGGAGACAGAGAAAGACAGAGAGAAATTGAAAGCGAAAGAGAAAAAGAAAGATAGAGAAAACGGCAAAAATAAAGAGATAAAGAAAGGGGGAGAGAGAGGCAACGAGAAAGAGAAAGAGAGAACAAAACAGAAAGGGAAAAATCAAGATAAAGAGAAGGCCAAGAGAAACATAAAGAAAAATACACAAAGAAAGAGAAAACTAGAGAGAAGAAAGGAGAGAAAAACAAAGAGGAAAAGGAAGAGAAAACAGGAGAAAGACACAAAGAGAAAAAGAAAGAAACAAAGAAAGAAAGAAAGAAAGAAAAAAAGAAGAAAAAAAGAAAGAAAGAAGGAAAGAAAGAAAGAAAGAAAGAAAGAAAGAAGGAAGGAAAGAAAGAAAGAAACACATAAAGAAATACAATGAGGGAGAAGAGGAGAAAGGGAAAGAGAAGGAGAAAGAGAAGATAGTTCTTATCTTTTATAGAAACTTTCGACCCGGCCCTATTTTGTACTTATGGCACTTCTAAACGCTGTAAATTCATGATGACATGCCTACTGACATGCCTACTAGCACGCCTACTTCGCCATATGTCCAGAAAGTGCTAGTAGCGCTCGCAAACTCAACAAAAGGAACATGGGGGAGCCCCCCATTTACTGGCCACATTATTCTACTATTGTCGAAGCCACCCGTGTGTGTGGTAATCTAAAGACTTTGCCCCTATGTAGAAATATTCAAACGACGACCGCAGATTCATGTCCTTCAAACATCGAATCAGAACGGCCCGGCTGCCCTGCCCCTAGAAGCGCCAGAGGCGCTCATGCCGAAGGCTGCGAGCGCACTGCTGCTCTCCAACACCGAACCCGAATAGGGTTTTTTCACCTCGGGTCCATGATCTCGTACGTTTGATTCGCGTGGATCGGGGTTTCCGAGGCTTTTCAGCAGCTCAAGCAAGAATGCACGGAGCATTTGCGAGCTCGCGCTTTTCGCCGGGGAAGAGTTCAGCAGCTTCGCACTCCACATGCTCGGAAAGCAACAGCATGCTGGCAAATGATGAACACCTTGGTAACCTTGCTGAAAGGGACAGTAGTCGACTGGTTGTCTTGATGTGGGTATGCAGGTGACAAAAACTAGTACGCCTTTCAATTTGAAGCCCGGCATGTCTTCCAAACGAACATCAAAAACCACCAAGTGGTGGGTGCCATTAACCAGCAATCATGGCACTTGCTTGCAACTACCCAACAACTGTCTGACATTACCAATCGCCTCACCAGAAAAACCGCCGCTCAGCTAGAAGCATGATATAATATGGGAGTTTCCCAAAATTTGGCAATTTGTATTGAGAGGGACGCCAAAAAGAAAGCCAACGGGGGTACGCGTATCTTGCCTCGCCAACTTCAGACGCTGCCTGGTTGGTCAAAGACTAAACAGGAGAGCGTGTTCCCTTGAGCTGTCGACGGTACGCGACGCGAGCAGCCGCGAGCATTGCGACACCACGCCCGCCCCGCAAGCAAGGCGGTCATCGTGGCGCCTTTTCCGCGTGGTGATGCTTTGTTAAGTACGCGCGTCAGGGCTGTCAACCTTCCAGAGCCTGATCGCGTGGCGCTTCCTCGCAGCAACCGCATCCGGCGCGGCGTGCCGTGGTCATCCGCAGCTGGCAACGGCCCCCAGCTGGGACGATAGCCACGTCAGCCCTGCGTCATCCCCCCCTTTGCATATAGTCTTGCCGCGAAGCCTTGCTGGCCCGGAACCCCCCCGGCATGGCCTCCTTGCTTAGTAATAACGTCGCTTGCCCTTGCCCAGAAATGGGTTTGACCCAAAACCAGAATCTGTCCCCAACATTGGCTGGTTCTCTGCGGTGGCTTGCAGTGAAATCTGCCCGTGCGTTGGCTGCAGCAAACAACGCCCAGCACCATTGGTGCTTACACGGAGAAAGGCGGTACAAGAGAAAGCTTGAGCCTCAGGACCTGGCTGTGCCTGAAAGTGGGCAGAGCATAGAAGTTGGACCGCAGTGGCTTCGCAAAGGCATGGCGGAGGCTTCTGAGACGCACTTCAGGTAGTGTCGTCTTGCCATAATCTTCCTGCACACGTCTTGCCATAGTCTTCCGGCAGCCTTCCTGTACTCTTTCCCTCAGTCTTCATAGCCTTCCTATAGCGAAGCAACGCTATTGGTTCTGCAGAGCTTCTGTCGCCTGCTGTCTCAGCGCAAGTGATCCGAGACACCCAAACGGGCGCGCCAATCCTGCGTCTGCACGGCTCTCGCGGCATCACTGCAGGCCTCTGAGGTTGTAAGACCCAGCAGCCTCTTCAACTTGCTCAAAATCGACTTCGCGCAAAACCCAAATACCATGTAGACCACTGTCATGCACTTTCCTATCACAATAATTTCTCAAAGTGACTCTCGGCATCAACCTTTGGCACGCTACTGCCGTGGAAGCCCATAACATGCTAAAACCACGACGTGGCTTCGCCTGTGCCAATGTTGCTGGGCTTCCAGGCACAAAATGTATCACACAAGTGCCCTTCGCCAAACTTTTTGCGAGTTCCCTCCCGAAGCTAAGATCCATCATCTGAGAAAAACAAAGGACAATCATGTGTGTGCATATGGCATCCGAAAGGAACCATCGAACCCATACAGGAGCACCAGAATATTGTTTCTCCCTGCTTTGGGACTTGCTCGCATTCAAGGTGCGTTGGATCCGTGGCAAGCCAGTATCAAGAAGCCGGAATTACTGCTTGTCAGACTTGGCAGCAAAAACAACAAGTTGCCGCCCTCGCTATATTAACTTCGAGTTAAGGGTGGTTCCCCTCCTGAGGAATGATCTGTTATTGGGAGTCCCTCTGACTAGGTTCTTCCACAACAACCCAATGTTGACTGCCATACATACACGGGGGTTTCGCAACATGTTGGCCCTGTTTTGGGGTTGGTGTTTAATCCCTTCTCCCGGCTTGTGAAACTCCTACATCCGGGAGTGCTACTTCTGGAATAGCCAATGCCAAACCAAGTTTTAAGTAGGTATTTTCCCGCCCGTGGTCCAATCCAGTCCTATTTGCGGGGACCCGGTACTACAAACTTCCGACTTTGAGCCGGAGCTCCGCGAGTACGTTTCCTTTACTATGGCTGTGCTACAAAGTTGCGACTGTCGAGCCGGAGCTACGGGAGTAAAACCGGTTTTTCCCGAGGAATCACTTAGTATTAGGGGGGCCGGGGGGGGGGGGGGCGGTTTAGCATTAGGGGGGAAGGGATTAAAGGGAAACCAAGAGTAGATCCACCTTTCCTTGTCTCCCCTACTTTGAGACACATGCATACACACACACGAACTCTCAGATTCTTTTGAATTCTGCAAAGACGCCACCACCATCTTCCAGTGCTTGCCACTGCCGCCAGCACCGTCCGTGCGGGTGATCTCAGAGGGCGCTGCCAACGTTTCATCCTGAATACCACGAGCCACGGTCGAAATCTGCCTGGACCCTCAAACTACCCTTACAAAAAGGATCCACCCCACAATTGTGGGGCAATATCTAAATGCCAATGATAGTTTGAGGGTCCAGGTGAAACTATACAATGAATCCGACACCTAAAAGAAGACTTGGACCCCTAAGTAAAGGATGTAGGTCTAGTGAGCTCGCTTTACTCCCTGGCGAGCTGCAAGTACGGAACTCCATGCAGGAAGGAGGCCGAGTCGCAAGGTCTGCTCGCATTAAACTAGGCGCTCCCAATGAATCCTTGAACTGTTTGCAGGACAGTTCGTGAGCCTTGCAAGTCTCCCCACCCCAAATTGACAATCGAGCAAATCTGTTGCTCTTTCAGAAACCGGGCTTGGGGCTTTCTTGCAGGCCAATGACATGTGAATCTGAATGAACCCTCTCAACATCGTTGAAATTAATATCCAACCCATTTGGACGGCTGATGCCCAGAACATCCAGAGCCATGTGTCGATGATCGGTGCCCCCCACCTTTTAGCTTCAAAAATGACCGGCATTTGTCAAGTCAGCTCCTTTGCCAGGTAGAACATCACCAGGCCTGAAGCTGGGCAGCTGGGCCGGAAGCCGATTTCTCACAAATGATACACCAACTTCCTTTTCCTCCATTTGCTTTATATGTTAGGTCCTGGAAAATATATTTCTAGCAGTGATAGATTCGCTTTAAAACCAACAGGGCAAAATTTAAAGCATTCTTCATCAAATGGAAGTCTTCGCCAACCTAAATCAACCCGGGTCGACCAGATATCGACCACAGGAAGGGGATGCTAAAAAAACATGACTTATTTCCCCCACTCCAGATAACCAGAATTTGATTGTGCATCGACTCAGAACTGTCAAGGTGTTTCTGGTTCGTGTACTCCAATTCCATTTAGCGTCCATTTGCATAAGTCCCCTGGAAACATTAACATATTTCCAGCCGTGATACAGTATATTCCCTTTAAGATCAACAACAATGAATATCACACGTATTCTGAAGCAATTGAAGAAGAGAGCTCACAAAGGGGCCCTCAAAAATGGCTTGCTGCATGTCGGCTACCAATACTTGCTACTTGGCCTTTATAAGCACCCTGCGAACATGAGATGCCTTCTGACCAAACCAGCGCAAGAAGCCCAAAAAACAGAAGACTCCTCGACAGCCACTCCAACTGCCAAGCTTGGAATTGTACCGACCACCAGGGATGGCCGAAGGGTGATTTCCGTATTCGCTACATCCACTCGAGGGCTTGGAATGGCCGTGGCCATTCCTCACCATCCTGATGCATGGGGCCATGTTGAGCATGACCATCTTCAACACCATCTTTTAGGGAACCCTGCAAAAAAAGGAAAAAACAAGTAAAACTGGGCCCGAGTTTTGCATCAAGGTGCGCCCCTAGCTGGGAAGGGACACACATGCTGACTTTGCTCACTTGGACGTTGAAATAGGGACACCAAGGAAAAGGGTGTGTAAGGACCATGTCTCAGGTCCCATTGACTATTAACATTGTCAATGGGCCGGCCTTGCTTGGGACATGTCAGTCGCAGCAAACTTCCTCTCTCCCTGCAGGGCTCCTGCGGCCCGCGCCTGCACCGTTCCTGGCGGTGCCCTGCATGCCGTCGAGGTCCACGTAGCCGATGGTCTCCGCGTTCTCAAAGGACTTGGAGTGCCTTGGACTTTGGTCCGAACAGGTTTGTTCATCACCTCATCCCTTTTTGGTTTCGGACGGAAAAGGAAAGGCCACTGGGTTGACCAGATTTAACCAGCTTGGCTGCTCTCTGAACAATTTTGCCCCTAAGTTTGATCTCCCCTACCATAAGGAGGGTGTGGGTCCGCAAATCAACCTTCTTTGCCCGTCACCAAAGGAAGCCATGGAATTCCAGGCGTCACCCCTTCCCCAATTCGACTCAAGGGGGGTGATTCTTGGGCCGTCTCCCACATGCCACGAGTTGGGGCGAGGCTGTTTGTGACTCATTGCTTGCTCGCAATTTCGGGGAAGCCGCTGTGTCTTGAAACAACTTTGGTGGATAAAGAGATTTAGAAACTAATAACAAGAAAACTCAAGGACAAAAACAAACATAACATAATCAATGAGGATGACATGTTGACAGCAAACAAGAGCATAATCATGATATGATTGCCAACAATGAAATGATAACCTTTGGTTTTGGTCAAGGGTGCCATTTCTTCAATATTGGAATTTAGAAAGCCTCTCCTGGGTCTGTGGGCAAACAAAAAATGGAACCCTGCATGTTGACCGCGCAACTCTCGAATGTTCAACCTAACATCAACTCGAAGGAAGCTTAATCGATAGTGGCAACCAAAAGGCGACCCCCTCAGACCCTCCAAGCGGATTTTGATGGAAACAAAGATGCCCCAGCCGTTTGTTGGGTGAAAATCTCAACAGGAAACTCCCCTGCCCCCCCCAACAAAACAGGGGGCGTGCAGCGTGGAATCCACTGACCAACTGGTGGGGCAGTTTGAGGATCCTGGTATGCGTTCACCTCAGAATAGGAGACCCTCCAAAATGAGAGGTGTCCTTTTAATTTCCCTTTAAACCACCAACAAAAAAAGTACCCCACAACCCGGTTGGAAGTATTACCGCCAGGTTCACCGCCCCTTGGCAGCGGAGCAAGTGCCAGTCCTTGAGGGAAGAGTAAGTAGAAGAGCTGCCAGGCGTCCCCAGTACGACTGACTGGCCATGCCGTACCATTCATCGCCCAGGGAAGTTACCTGGCCGCTGGTCTTGGTCTCCGGCTCTGGCCACGTGGCCGAGGCTCTGAAGAGCTTGCACACCATCTAGCACCGTGCGAGTCCGCTCCACCGGTTTCCTGATGGTGTCGTTTGCACCCCCTATCGAGCCATCATAGATGTTGCGGATCTTGTCCCCCTCGTCGATTCCAGCGCGCCGCGCCTTCCACCATGCCCATGCAAACCTCCTCCATGAAATGGTCTTAGATGCCCGGAAAAAACCAAAGGTGGGTCTGGGTCGTGGATGTACGTTGTTAGGCTGTGTAGATGTTGAGGAAGAAGGGTTGGCCTTCAGTGGGCCGACCTGCCCCAGGAGCCAGAGCCGCCCCCACTGAGGCAGCCGGCAGAACACTCAAGGGAAGAGCAACGGGCGCAGAGTTATCAAGTTAAGGCGGACTTGGCAACGCGGAAGAAACCGCCTGGATGCAGGACGTTTTGCTGAGACTCAGGTCCCGACTAAGGTGGATCCCACAACCAGCGCCGGCGACTACCAAACCAACACTCATGATGCTGCAGGCTGGAAAGGAGGACGCTGGGCGCTGGATGCCTACATTCACGCCTACAACCCGGCCCTCTCAGAGTACATCTAGGACATCAGGCGAAAAGGAGGCCATCTGGCCATACTCGGCTATCCGGTGGTTCCAAACCGTGGTCGAAGCAGGCTCTCTGGGCTTGGAGCACCCTATGGACCCAATGGAATGCAGCAAGTGCCAGGTGTTCATCGATCGAAGACCCTTGTAAACCAGGCAGTGCTCCCTCAACAAGGTCCAGGGCCTCCTTACGGAAATCCTCCCAGGATGTCCTGCATAGGGGATGTGCTCTGCAAACGGGACGAGGTGGGCAAGTAGACGCTCCACCCCACCCACCTCCCACAAAGGTGGAGTTCCAACACACGCTGTGTTGTGGGCTCCATTTCCCTCACCCTGCCTGGGCGCCAGTGCCGCGCCAAGTCCTCAGCCGACAGAGGCTGCAGAAGTCTACCTGCCGCAGTAGGAGTCGGCCCACCGGAATGCCTGAGTTTTGCAAGAGCCACGAGAAGCGAATGGCCGGCTCCCCTCCGAGGCTTCTCCTCTCTGGCAGACACATCAGCACCAGCAACTTTTTCTCCCTCTGCCTCGGACGACTCTCCGCCAAGTCTCAGAGAACCCCTTAAGATGCGGTCCCACAAAGGGGCGCAGCTGGAACTGAGTCGAAATCCTATCCAGGAGGCAAGGGTTTGAGCCTTACTCAAGCCACCTCCATTCGACCTGCCTCGCAACCTAATGGGCGAGGCAAAACGTTGCCGCTCAGATGGGACTGGAAAAGACAACCGCAACAAGCCGACATCAACCCTAATAAATGAAATGCAAAATAGACAACAGGTAACAAGCTGAAATCCGTCCCCCCGAGGACGGGGCCGGAGGGCCCGCTAACCTCCCACCGATGTAGCAAGGAGACGGGGCTTCTAGCACTCGCCCTTTCAGGACAGCCGCCTTTGCCACCTTGGAAATGCGGCTGGTCCCGGCCACCTTGGCGGGTGCCAACTCCCCCACCCCGCCAGCAGCGCCTCCTCCTGCCAGATGGGCGCCAAGACAGCCATCTCGTTGTCCAGCATCTCGT